AGTTTTTGTATGACTGTAACCATTGATACTAAGTTGTGGAATTGCCGACATATTCGTTCAATATGGGGCGACTGTTGCTGCGAGGGAGTGGAGTCGTCTTTCAATCAGAAGGTTGTGAGTTTGATCCCAGCCCTGTGCAGTCAACATGTTGGTGTATCGTGAGCAAGATACTTAACCGCGAGTTGCTTCCAATGACATGGACAACGTTGTGTGAATGTGTTGTATGAATGGTGACTTACGTGAGTAAAATGGCAAATTGCCCTGTATGAATGACGTGTGAATGGGTGAATGTGACTAAAGAGTGGATAAAGTGCTACATAAGTACAGTCCATTTACCATTACTCCGACTTGATAAGCATAATGCAGCATAATATCCAATATGTATAGTCAGGATTTTGTATAGCTTTTGTCACATGGCTAAAATAAGTTATCAAAATCGGTTCCCTTGGTGACTGTACTCACAGAACAAAATAGATGGTTGATTTGCTCTCTGCAGTCGTGTCTTTAGTTTTTTGTCAGGGAGATACATTCACCCTGTAATAAGTATAAGTATAGAAACCAAGTCGAATTTGTCAAATGTATTGAACTGGTGATCACAGTTTGAACAGTTGACAGCTATAGGCCTACAGCTTTCATGCTTAAAACATAACTTGGTTTTTAAATTAAAGAGGGATCATACACGAACAACATAACGGGTTAGGGTAACATAACCCTATTACAACAGAGATCAACAACCTATAACAGGGCCTATGCACAGAATGCAGCTATTCAATAATCATTCTTGTTTAACCTCTTAAGGACGATGGTCCCCCCAGTGGACCCCCCCCCAACGTTTTTTTTCGAGACTGTGTCTCAGGGCTCCTTAACATTTATGAAACTATTAATGTGTAGCACCAGATTAACGGGAAGAATCTCAGCTAACTGAAGATATGAACCATTTTTACCAAAACAAAACACAAGGGTAATACCAAGCCTCTGAATTAGCACTAAGCGAAAAAATGCTAACGCACTTTAGCACAGAACTCAAGATAAAGATACCCTTATTACTTCTCGTAGCTGCACATACAATATATCCGATTAAAACTGAGACTCCACAGATTATATAGGTATAGTATCATCACTGAGCGATCCGAACTCGCGACAGGGGAAGCAAACACAGACATCACAACACGTACCTTTACGGAGCTTTTACGGGAGATCGTCTCACCGTAGCTGTCAATCTGATCAAAAGACGTGTTCAATGGCATTAAAACGAGAAAAAACGCGGCTGAATTGTTGATCCATAGGTTAATAATGTATCTGTAGCTTTGAAAAAATTATTTATAATCCATAATTCCATTTTTATGTAAAAATCGGAGAGAAAAAGTTAGCTGCTAATGGTAGCCAACAGAGTGTATGCAGCTTCCGGTTTTGGCCACGCGCCACTCTCACTCCTTATTTGTTAATGTGTTGGTGTGTGTAGAACTTTCCCTCGATTCCATTGGCTCTAGCGGTTATAAAGAGATTTCATTCATCAAAATCGACCAAGGGGGGCCAGAGATATGGAAAATCCACCCAAATTTAGCTAAACCTCTCTAAAAAGGTACTTATTATATGTTGTACTTTGGATTCCTAAAGCTTTTAGTCTACCATACCATCATCCAAGGGTAGTTTTCACTATAAGTAAAAAATAATCTTTGGACGGACACTATAATTTACAGTTTTTTACTATGTTCAATCTGAATTTTCTTTAAAATAAAAAACATCTATATTGATTCTGACTTTTCTACATCCAACTCACAGGTTTATCATTACTTTGAGAACAAAGATTATTAATTTAACCCTTTTAGAAGGGAAGATATGGTCATTTGTTCTGGGAATGTCATTTTCGAGCCTGAGACCTGAAAAACAGGCTCAGGGTGGAACAGGTTAAGAATATGAGCATGTCTACTCAGGGGAGAGGCGGGTGCGGAGGCGATTCACAATCAGGCCAGCTGTAGAGAAGACCCTCTCAGCTGGAATTTGGGCATAAGATGAGGTTTGAGTCTGCGTGATCTGCGAGTAGGGAGGGGCAGCAGTAGGGATGGGTACCGAGCCCCGGTATTAAACGGGCCCCGGAGCTGAATTATTAAAGACCGTGGTACCGCTAAGCTCCGACTTTATCGGTCTTTTTATCGGTACTGGAGACATGTAAAAAATATATGTCATATGTATTATTGCTACACAAACATTATATTGCAGTTTTAGTGTCGCCAACTCCGTTTCTAATATGCAATAAGACTACAATATGCGTCTATGATTATTTTTTGTATTTTCGATCTTTCCAATCCAGACGAGAGATCTCTCTCTCCCCCGTCTGTGTGCGAGGGGGCGGGGCAGTTTACACACACGCAGCTGCTACATGCAGCAACACACACACACACACGGAGGAGATGGCGGAGAGAACGCGCTCCGAGGTGTGGTTAAACTTTACCCATCTCGATGTGGACAATGCTCGTTACCAAAAGTGCAATAAGAGTTTAGCATGTAAGGGCGGTAACACGAGCAATTTGTCTAAACATTTAGCAAAAGTGCACCACCTTCAGACGGAGAAATGCACCGGGTTCGACTGTCTTTCTTGTAGCTCTGTAGCCCCGTCCACGAGTAACGTTTCCACGTCAGGTATTATGTATGCTAGCAGCAACACACGGAGCTAACTCAATTATACAAACATGGGTTAATGATTAGAGGTAACTGAGTTATTTATTTTGTTAAAGTTTCAGCTATTCTGTTTACAATTCTGTCATCAGATTATTTAATACCATTTGTTAAAACATTGTTGTTTCTTTTGAAATATTATGTATTTAATTTAAATAAAAAGCAATGTTAGTTTTGTTCACAATTTGTTTAGTTAGTTTACCTTATTCTTTTATCCAAAAGAACCGATAAGAGTACCGTTAAAAGACCGGACCGATAAGCAGTATCGATAAAAGTAGTAGTACCGTTAAAACCTTAACGATACCCATCCCTAGGCAGCAGCCATATCATTAGCTAGAACTAGCTCGATCTGATGGATTTGGACATAAACGTGAGTGCAGCTCTGCCCGCTGTGAGGGACCGGTGAGCGGAGCAAAACACACCTTTAGACCTAACACACTTAGCTATGGCACTGTCGTATACATTGAATTATACCATTTGATAATATGTAATCAACTCCCAAAAAAAAAAAAAAAAAAAAGAATTACAATAAAAATATTCATAACTCATATTCTCATATTCGAATACTTGAATAATTTAGAATATTCGATTAATCGTTCCCATCCCTAGTGGATACCAACAATGTAATGGTTTGGGACAGGATTGGAGCTAAAAAACTTGATTTGGACATCCCTATTTGTAAGCAACGTAATACTAAGGACCAAAACCACAATGTTTTGGACATTGCTTTCTGCAAACAAGAGAGGGAGAAGATACTAAAAGGTTTGGTAAAATATTTGATTCTTACCTTAACAAATTGAAGTATTTTACTAACGTCGAAGTCAATCATCAAAAACTAAAATAATAGTGTCATCTGTCTCTGATTAAACTTCGTAAACAGACTACGGTACCTTTGGTTCCATCATATTTTCTTCCATCATGTTTGTGACACTCCCACCATATCTCTCAGCTACCTGATAGCCTGAGCTACATTTAACCATTAGTGTCATTCAGAGTGAAGATCATCTCCATGTTGCTTTGTTTGGCTTCTCATTACCTGCTATGGGAGGGTTGATTGTGGCAGGAAAAAGTAGGGGATGGGAAGATGTTTTGTTCCGTGGAGGGACAATTAAGACATACAATACATATGCTGCTGTCCTCCTGCTGTTGGCTTGATTACCATTGCTGTAGTCTTTAGCAGATTATTGATTCTCTTTATTGACTATGGGAACGTGAACTCAACAGATGGTTCTTGTCATTTCCCAGGCATTTGTTTTTGGCTCATGGTTTAAAAGCCTTCTGTGTTATTCATTTGGTAAACATTGAAAGGGAGATCATAACAAAGCCTTGTCTTCGTTTATCTTCGCTCTGTGTGTTTGATTCAGATGCTTGATAAACCGCAGACTGAGGTCTTTGTAAGTCCATTACAATGTTATTGTATCTGGTTCTGTCTTCCAGATGATATCAGCTAAAGGTTCCCTAGAGTAGCAATGAAAGTACCAAGCACTTCTGTCTGTTCATTGCTATTTTGCTCAAATAAAATGGTTCCAATGCTATCCGGGATAGAAAGGATAGCTGGCCTGTGCCGACGCGTATGAATCACTCCCTTTCAAATTCACCATCCCGAGAAGCAATTTTGTCAATTTGAAGTGGGCTCATGATTCATCTGGGCTAATCTAGTCATCCTGTTGAGACCCTTGCTCAGTGAAAATGGGAGCTATTATTCCACAGAACTGCATTGGTGCATTAACTTAAATCAAGCCAGTAGGACAAATGCTAAAATAGAACATAAGAACATTATAGTATTCCAATGATTGTGGCATATTTATTTTCAGTTTTAAGTGATCTTATATGAAAAAAGATTGTTGGTGAAAGGCCTTTGCGTAGGCGTGAGAAAAAGTTAATATGTGAAGAACTCCAATATACTCCAAGCATTCTTCAGAACACAGAACACTACGAGTTCTCTGATATAATATGGTTGAGCTGAAATATAGAATAATGGAGATAGTAAAGCAGTTTCACCGATTATCCACTTACAACTCTGTAAAAAGCAAGAGGCATTCACAATTGTTTTCTACAACAGCCTATTCCTGGTTTAACCTTGACAAGAGATATAGTGATGAAATCAACATCAAAATCATGTATGTTCTTGAGGCTATGCTATTTATGTTTGTCATTATTTACTTAGTTTTATTTGTTTGAAGGCTTTTTGTGTGTACTGTCAGCAATGGTTGTTTTTCTTGACATAACGGCATACTTCTCTGATTAATTATGAAGTGAATGGACAATGTGATCAATAGCAGTCATAAATCCTATTAATCTCCCTCCTGTTTTTTGTGCTGCAGGGCTGCGGGGGGGAAGGACGGCGACGGCACAGTGGCTCTCACAAAGCCGGAGCAAAAGGGAGGCTGGAACCTCGACACAGGTCAGATATCTCATCAACCTTTTCTCTGATCTTTGTTTTCCTCACACCGTCCTGCTAAATCATAAGCAACTTAAGACCACAACTGGCTGGCCCTGGGTCAGTGGTTTAACGGTTTATGATTGCACCAATCTATCTGCCTGGTAACGGGTAAAAGTCTGCTAGAGGCCTCAAGAGCTCGCAGTGCTTATTTCATCTTACAAGATTAAAGTGTTGTACAGAGCCATAAAACACAAAGATGTTCCCTATGCTAGAGCCTCAACGGTTTTGGTAAATAAAATTAGGGCTGCTCTCGACTAAAGATTTCTCTAGTTGACTAAAAGTATTCAATTCAGGCGATTAGGCGACTAAAATGTGTCGACTAATACTTTTTTCCGCTAACTAACGTTTAATCGACTAGTGTTAAAATAAAATGTTTTGAAAATTCCATAATTGCACCTTCCACAAAATGAAAACCCATACTCAGATTTGTTTAAATATGTGGTAAGAAAATGAAAGAATTATACAGGAAAAATATATTATCACACCTTGCATATTTGATCAGCACAAACTACACCAAGGTCCTTCTTTTTTTATTTTATGTAACACACCTGAGTCATTGTCTGGTTTTATGGATGAGTGTTAGACGTCTGTTCTTGTGGTCGTGGTTGTGTCCTGAGGGGATGCTTGTTACTGTGATGTTAATATTGATATGGAGGCTTTTTACCGCCCTCATACACAGCCCACAGACTACCTCGTCATCCTCAACCTCCTGACTGGTCCACATCTAGCTTCTGGTGCTCTCACACACACACACACACACACACACACACACACACACACACACACACACACACACACACACACACACACACACACACACACACACACACACACACACACACACACAACACACACACACACACACACACACACACACACACACACACACACACACACACACACACACACACACACACACACAGGTTGGAGGATAAGCACATTTAGGACTATGTGCCCTTTCAAAAAATGATGAGGCGGAAATTAGTTCCTCACCAGTGGTGCACCAGCAGTTGAAAGTACTGACAGATTTAACTTAGCACAGCATATTCTAAAAAAGATTAACAACAGGACACATACAATATAAGGTTAGTTTGTAGAACTGTTCTGATACGGTTCTTTACAGATTGAGTGCAGGAGCAGCTTGGAAATGATATCATTTGAATAACATGGCATAGTTGCTTCCGCATGGGAATGTAGTGCAATCAGTGCTCTGGTGGACAATTGAAACTCATTCCAATTAACTGTAATGACCTCTAATGGCCTTTCTTTACTTAACTTATTCTTTCTCATCTCCCTACATATACACCAACACCAATATATGTTATGTAACAAGCTGTTATCATCTGATAGAAAATGGTCTGGGTAAATTGTCATTGGGGTCCATTTACAGCTAACATACATGAAGCAAGTTGTATTCATAAAGATAATTGTCTTCAATGAGACCATTATACTTGCTCACAAAAAAAGGCAACTGATTTGGAAATATTCACAACCTAATATACTAATATAAGAGAAAATAACCAATCTACTTGCTTGCACTCCTGTAACTAATAGCTAGCGCTACTACATGCTAGAAAATGACATGTTCTTATCAAATGTTTACCGTATTGTAGTTAAGGTAGGGGAGAGTTGGGTAAGATGAGCCCATTTTTACATATGTTGTCCTTTAGGTGAGGAAAAATGAAATGGAAGTCAAATGACAACAACAACCTTTACTTCAGGATGTGTTCTGTCAATCAAAAATGAAAATAATACTAATAATAATAATACATTTGATTTATATAGGGCTTTTCCTGGCGCTCAAAGCGCTTTACAAGCAAGTAAAGAAGCAACAAATAAATAAAAAAATAAATAAAAAAATGCATCTAACAAAGGGGCATGCAAATATGACTTCTCCAAAAAATTGTGTTTTTTCTAATAGAAAGGCAATACCAATATCAGTGTTAAGGGTTAGATAATACGATAAGTAACATTGGACATTTCTATTTTTTTTCAATGTTCTGGGCCACCAGAGCCTTTGTTGTAGAGACAGAATTTAAACTTAATTAGATATTTTGATTAAGATATCTTAATATGGTTATAGAAGAACTATGAGCAAGAGACGTTCTCAGTGGAACACATCTCATTTGAAAAATACATGTGTCAGATTACCCAGGGGAACAATCTATGTGATGGTGACAATTTTCCAATGATATGTCAGCCAGTATATTGGTAGATGAAGCGGCAATAGACTTATATTAACTGATGGATAATCCTGAGCAATTGACCGATTAGGCTTCACTAATCAGCTCAGCCAGGTGTAAGCCTATACTTACATTTACACTGCTTAAAACCCATCAGTTACAAAGGGGTCAGGTGTAGAAGAATTTGCAACATTAAGATTACAGAACAGGTTCCACTCCTTTCTTCTTCAAATTACTGTACAAAGAACTCTCTGAAGTTTCTTCTACCTCGTTGTTTAAATTCTTTCAAGCATTTGTAGAAGGTGTGCAGATGAGCAACTATGGTCTGGTAATGTTCTGAGGGTTGGACAGCTTGTTACATCAGTGATATCCGTGATTGTTGATGTTGACATGAAATATGAATTAGTTGGATTTACCCAGCCATGCCTGGGAACATGGCTGAATGCCTCGCTGTACAGATGTCCCTGCTTGGACTGATGGTTGCCTTGGCAAGACAGGAAAACATGGTGATGGGTTTGAAGGCAGTGAGAGGAAAAGAGTGACTGCAGGCACATATTGAGAGTTGTATCGAGGGCCTCTTTTTCAAGAAGAGTTAAAACACATGACAGATAGTAGGACCTGACTTTCATTTTAATTTCAATGACAAAACAGTTCCTTAAAATGTCATAGTTGATTATATATTATTGAGTTATAGTTAATAGATACAAATCAAGGTCAATGTGAAATCCTTCAAATTTACAGTAGGACAACATTTTTTTCAAAAACTGGTGTGGCTTCTAAGACCACTATAGTTCATAAATAGTTCTGTCTGAAGCAAAGTTGAACAAAGGAAGGAAAGTGAAATGACTGAAGCTAAGGTTTTAGGCACCAAATGATGGCAACACGTCAGGCATTTTCAGTTCATACTCATCTTCTTGTAGATGATTCACTGACGGACTCAGGCCAGCTCTCCGGTAATTGATGGTGATCACAGGAGGCGTCTGACTGCCTCTTGTGCATCTTAATGCTCACGATAATGGGAAAGAGGAGACCTGCTGAGAAACGTAACTACACAGAATGATTCAGACCCAGAGTGCCGCTGCTAATCGGCATGCTAACGAGTGAATATTGATGCCCAACCGACTGGTGACAGCATTAGACAAGGGTATGCCACCAGCTCAGGAGAGATCAGTGGAGTTAGAAAGCAATTAAAAAGCTAGGTATAGTATTAAATTACATTTTTGACATATATTTAAGACTTCGCCTCTACATGACAGGAATGTCTTTGGCATTTCTTTAACCTGTTCCACCCTGAGCCTGTTTTTCAGGTCTCAGGCTCGAAAATGACATTCCCAGAACAAATGACCATATCTTCCCTTCTAAAAGGGTTAAATTAATAATATTTGCTCTCAAAGTAATGATAAACCTGTGAGTTGGATGTAGAAAAGTCAGAATCAATATAGATGTTTTTTATTTTAAAGAAAATTCAGATTGAACATAGTAAAAAACTGTAAATTATCGTCCAAAAATTATTTTTTATTTATAGTGAAAACTACCCTTGGATGATGGGTTAGTAGACTAAAAGCTTTAGGAATCCAAAGTACAACATATAATAAGTACCCTGTATCAAGATTGATGCAAAACAAGTGAAATTTGACTTTTTTAGAGAGATTTAGCAAAAAAAAACCCACTTCTGGGGTGATTTGGGTGGATTTTCCATATCTCTGGCCCCCCTTGCTCGATTTTGATGAATGAAATCTCTTTATAACCGCTAGAGCCAATGGAATCGAGGGAAAGTTCTACACACACCAACACATTAACAAATAAGGAGTGAGAGTGACGCGTGGCCAAAACCGGAAGCTGCATACACTCTGTTGGCTACCATTAGCAGCTAACTTTTTCTCTCCGATTTTTACATAAAAATGGAATTATGGATTATAAATAATTTTTTCAAAGCTACAGATACATTATTAACCTATGGATCAACAATTCAGCCGCGTTTTTTCTCGTTTTAATGCCATTGAACACGTCTTTTGATCAGATTGACAGCTACGGTGAGACGATCTCCTGTAAAAGCTCCGTAAAGGTACGTGTTGTGATGTCTGTGTTTGCTTCCCCTGTCGTGAGTTCGGATCGCTCAGTGATGATACTATACCTATATAATCTGTGGAGTCTCAGCTTTAATCGGATATATTGTATGTGCAGCTACGAGAAGTAATAAGGGTATCTTTATCTTGAGTTCCGTGCTAAAGTGCGTTAGCATTTTTTCGCTTAGTGCTAATTCAGAGGCTTGGTATTACCCTTGTGTTTTGTTTTGGTAAAAATGGTTCATATCTTCAGTTAGCTGAGATTCTTCCCGTTAATCTGGTGCTACACATTAATAGTTTCATAAATGTTAAGAAGCCCTGAGACACAGTCTCGAAAAAAAACGTTGGGGGGGGTCCACTGGGGGGACCGTCGTCCTTAAGAGGTTAATAGCATCATGTTCAACCATCCTCAAACTGGTAGCATTGTCAACACTTGATATAATCTTTTTTTTCTGCAATCTGCTTTGAAGAGTGACTTAGATTAAAACTGTATGTCTTGAAACAGGTTATAGTCCATGCACTGGGTATTTAGAGCAATGTAGAGAAGCACTGAATGTCTCTAATGTCCACAGTCAAAGGTGAGGTGAAAATATTTACCTTTCAAATCTCTTCTTTATATCTCTATGTTTAGTTGTCTTGATACATGAATCTTACACATGATGATTACAATGCTCAAGCTAGCTCGATCTAGAAACTCATACTTCACTTCCTG